ATATTATACAAAGAAATGAGATACTGAGAGAGAGGGAAAAAAACAAACTAAGAAAGAATAACTTTTGTTTTCAAATCCACAAAATTCCAGCTTAAACAAATATTATTATTCTTATAGCAGCTTCTATGACAATGCCTCAGTTTGCCGTCAGATGTTTTTTTTATTTATAAAAAGACATAGGTAGGATATAGATAACAAACATAATTCTGACAATAACACTTGTATTCCACATATAATAAAAGGAGACAATAATTCATTAATAGTACTGAGACATTTCTTATTTGGTAATCACAAGAAGAGCTGGATCAAATTAAGAAATGAAGAATGGCACACTATACAAGGACTGTATACCCCTCTCTACTCCAGTACAGTGTCAAAGAATGATGTTACATCTTAAGATCCACTGGTCCTTACTGGTAAAGTATCATCTCTGTATCATGTCTCCATTGTTGTCATATCTTCTTATAAGTGGCAATAAGTTTAAAAACAAATACTAGGATCTATTACCAATATGAGGTGGAGAAAAAATAATATCAACAAAAATTGAAGAAATAATTACTACCCCAAGACTTTTGGATGCTACTAAAGCAACTACTGCTCCTGATTTAATAAAAAAGGAATCTGACTAACCTCATCAATGATCCTACAATTAAGGCAATGTATTTAGACAGATCATTATCACTTTATGATAATAATTACAGTTCATGGAAACAGGACCCTTAAAACAAAACAAAAGGGGGAGAAAAAGCTCTGTGGATACACTATCACAAATCCAAGACTTCAAGCAAGAATAATGACAAAGAATAAGAACATAAACAATTACCATTTCACTATGCTAATATTTGAATAGGAATTTTATTGGTGCTTTAACTGCATTATCTCTTCACAATCTTGTATTACCAAACAATTACCCCTGCCACTTTCATTAACATAAAAAAACAGGAAAATACATTCAGGAACAAAAAAGGATCACAATGGGGGACAATTTCCAACATGGAAAGAGCAATATTGTATGGAAAAAAAGTTTGTCAAATCTTGCCTAACCAAATCATGTAAAGCACAGTTTAAAATATATCTTTCATTAGCAAGGTAATTAAAGCACTGAGTTTTACTTATATTGGTGGTTTACATGATGTTTCATGTCACTTAACTGGGTCTCTTTGACTTTTATTGCCATCCTATAAAAGAAATTAGGAGATGTATGCCACTAATTCAAAAATGAGTCATGCATAACACAGGACAAATACATATT